CAAGATCTAAACTCTAGAGCTGGGGAGATGGCTCAATTGGTAAAGTGACTGCATTCTAAGCACAACGACCTGAGTTCAGTTCCCCAGAACCCAGATAGGACCAATGGGACCGAATAGAAGATTAATCCACACACCCATGAACGCCTGATTTTTGACAAAAAAAGCAAAAACATATAAAATGGAAAAAAGAAAGCATATTTAATAAATGGTGCTGGCATAACTTGATATCAACATGTAAAAGAATTAAATAATCCATATCTATCACCATGCACAAAACTCAAGTCCAAATGGATCAAAGACCTCAACATAAAGCCAGCCACACTGAACCTCATAGAAGAGAAAGTGGGAAGTACACTTGAACACATTGGCACAGGAGACCACTTCCTAATTATAACCCCAGTAGCACAGATACTGAGAGAACAATTAATTAATGGAACCTCCTAAAACTGAAAAGCTTCTGTAAAGCAAAGGACATGGTCCACAAGACAAAACGAGTCTACAGAATAGAAAAAGTTCTTCACCAACCCCACATCAGACAGAGGCCTGATCTTCAAAATATACAAAGAATTCAAGAAATTGGTCACCTAAAGAACAAATAACCCAATAAAATAATGGAGTACAGACCTAAACAGAGAACTCTCAACAGAGGAATCTAAAATGGCTGAAAGACACTTAAGGAAATATTCAACATCCTTAGTCATCAGAGAAATGCAAATCAAAACAACTCTGAGATTCCATCTTACACCTATAAGAATGGCCAAGATCAAAAACACTGATGAAAACTTATGTTGGAGAGGTTGTGGGGTAAAGGAAACACTCCTGCATTGCTGGTGGGAGTGCAAGCTGGTACAGCCCCTTTTGATGTCAGTGTGGCCATTTCTCAGAAAATTAGGAAAGGACCTTCCTCAAGACCCAGCAATACCACTTTTGGGTATATATCCAAAGGATGCTCAATCATGCCACGAGTACATGTGTTCAACTATGTTCATAGCAGCATTGTTTGTCATAGCCAGAACCTGGAAACAACCTAAATGCCCCTCGACTGAAAAATGGATAAGGAAAATGTGGTACGTTTACACAATGGAGTACTACACAGCAGAAAAAATAATGACATCTTGAAATTTGCAGGCAAATAGATGGATCTAGAAAACATCATTTTGAGTGAGGTAACCCAGACACAGAAAGACAATTATCATATGTACTCACTCATAGGTGGTTTTTAAACATAAAGCAAACAAAACCAGCTTACAAATCATAATTCCAGAGAACCTAAACAACAATGAGGACCCTTAGAGAAATATACATGAATTTAATCTACATGGGAAGTAATAAAAAACAAGATCTCCTGAGTAAACTGGGAGCATGGGGACCATGGGAGAGGGTTGGAGGAGAGGGGAGAGGATGGGAGAGGAGCAAAGAAAAATGTAGAGCTCAATAAAATCAATTTTAAAAAAGCCAGGCAGGGTAACACAGACTTAAACTTTCAGGGCTTAAAAAAAGAGACAGGTGTGTCCCTGGGGGTTTTGAGCCACTCAGTCTAGCCAAACCAGCAAGTTCGAAAACCCAGTGAGAGACCGTGTTCCCCAAAACCAAGATAGACAGGGTCCTGAGGAAGGACAGCTAAGGTTGCCCTGGCCTCGGCACACAAATTCACACACAGACAAGATCCAAAACCTACCAGCTTGTTTCCACCACTGCACTCAGTTTCTCTGTCTTCAGTCTCAGTGCCTCCAACCCAACACGCAGCAAACACCCACTCTTACTCCTGTTGATGCACCCCTCGGAAACACAGCAGCCCTAAGACAGTAGCTGTCCCGGCAGCCCTGAGACTACAGCCGTCACACAGAGGCAGCTTCCCTCCTTGCAGTCCTGGAGCACTTGGTGTCTGCAGACAGTCTGTTGTTGCAGTTTTGCAGAGGTTTCCCCTCTAGATGCAGCTGGAACTCATACAATACACAGAGCTGCTACATCTGATCCACATGTCAAAAAGTCGAAGTTGGCTTTGGGATGTGGCTCAGCTGATAGAGTGCTTACTGGTATGCCCGAAGGAAGCCCTGGGTTCTAATCCCCCCTTCTCCAGCCCCTGCACAGCATAAATTTGGTATGGCGGCACACATCTGTACTCAGTATATAGAGGCGGAGGATCAGAAGTTCAAGATCATCCTTAATTACATAGCTGGAAGCCATGCAGGACCACATGGGAATTGTCTCAGAAGGAAATTGTGTCAAAGCTCAGAAATCCTGTTTGAATCATGAAACACAAAGCTTGCAAAAGCCAGAAGTCACAGAAGCCTGCCATAAGGCAGTGTTTCTCGACATGCCAGGGCAATCATGCACATGAATACATGGGAGCTGCGGCTGTCTAGACAAAGCCAGCCAGGCAACACATCGGCATGGATGGGGAGGGAACTGGAGATGCCACCTCTAGCTGAGGAGCTACCGGCAGTCAACTCTGATATGGGGCTAGGGGTCAGGGATGTGGATCCCTGCAGGTTCCGCAGTCCCCTTGGATTGCCGCATACCCATGAGTATCTGGGCAGCACAAATTAGGGGGGGGGCGTAAATTTGGGAAGGGGTAGGGATGGATTTGGGAGGAGTTAGGAGAATAAGTAGGGGGTGAATCAGGTCAAAATACACTGATAAAATATTACAATAAGAAACAACAGAACTAGTACAAAGAGCACACTAATTTTTAAAAGTTCTTTTTAACATGTATGGGTATTTTGTCTGAATGTATGTCTGTACACCATGTGCATGTCTGGTGATTCTAATCTGTGGCAAGTTCACATTAAAACCAACCAAGTTAACCAGTGCTGGGAAGTGGAGACAGGAACATCCCTGGGGCTCACTGACCAGTCAGCCTAATTTACTGGGTGAATCCCAGGCCAGTGAGAGACCTTGCCTCAAAAAACAAGGACAGCATGTGAGGAATAAAAGACCAAAGTTTTCCTCTGGCTTCCACATCCATACACATGCACCCCCACACACACACACACAAGCTACACACTTATGTAGACACACAAAAGACACTCTACTGTGGATGCTGAAGTCATTTCCATCCACAGACATGACCACTGAGTTCCCTCTTACACTGGGCAGCAGGCCCTTTGGATAAAGGTGAACAAGCCAAGGTGTTCAAGGTACAGCATGTGTCTGGTGGGACAGTAGGGGGGAGCAGGTGTTATTGCAGGTGAAAGCCCTCAGGAACTGTATGGAGCAACGCAGTATAGAGAAGGCCCTGTGCTCAGTTTCTTATGGGAAAAGCAAAATAAAATGCGGTCCACTTCAGGGGTCGTTACTTTTCAATTTCTGCTTGCAAAGGACACTTCTGACGCCTCCCCTGAAGGAAGGGGCAGAGGAGGGAGGCGGGAGCAAGTACTTCAACCTCAGTGGTCTCTTTGGAAGGGGCCTATGATGTCCCTTTGAGAGAAATCCAAAAGGAAGGAAGAAATTCCAGATCCAATGTCTGACCACCCGGAGTCCAACAAGCAAAAGGAAAAGGTTGCAGAAGCTGGGAAACTGTCCAAATAAAGTAGGTCAATTCCACCCTCATTTATTAAAGGCGTTTTCTGGTGCAAACCCTCAGAGATAGAACCACAGGTCAGGATAAGCCCATATAGTAGCCAGGAGCCCAGGTGAAGCCTTCTCGTAGAGATACACGTGCATACATATGCCATGTGCATATGTAAATGACAAGCAAATACAAGGGGCACAAGGGACAGAGAAAACCTCAGACTGGTGGCACCCTTCCTCCAGAAGTCAGGAATCTAGAGATCTGGGCGCTAGTCCCAGCCCTGCTCCTGACATACTGATATGAAGCAATTCCCTCTCTGAGGGCTTTAGATTCTGTAAGATGAAAGGCTTGAACAGACTAAGCAAAGCAACCTCCCAAGGTACAGTGAAGACTTGAACCAAGCAAAGCCTCTGTTTCCCCATCTGTTTAATTCTGAGATAACCCGGAGCATCCCTTCCAGACCCCCCCCCCCAAAAAAAAGTAACCTGCGCCTGTTCCTTCTGCACAGATGCCTCAGGAACCGGGAAACTAAGTCACTGACCTAGACGGGAGTCTCAGGAGCTAAGATTCCCTGTGTTCTTAGGATGCAGATCTTGGGGGAGGGGTGACATTTTGCAGATCTTGTTGGGAGGAGTAACTCCGGAGTCCTCAACCCAGCAGCCTTGAACTTCTTCCCAGTTCTTTCCATCCTGCCAGACTCAACCCAGCCTGTCTCTCCTGCAGATATCCCAGGGGAAGGCGCCCAAAGTTCCCAGGAGTTTCTGTGGGAAAGAAACGCAAACCATCCCCTGGCTTCTCTCTGCTCCAACTTTCTCCCTCTCCTGCCCAGAGTTTGTTGTGACCCGCGCTGCTCCCAGGAGCCCACAGGCACAGACTTTTGAAAAGCCAGTCCCTCCAGGCGGAGAGGGGGCGGAAGACACGACACTTGGGATTAAGAATGGTCCCGCCACGGACACGAAATCTCTACTCACAACTTTCTCAATTTCCCATCTGCCACTCGGAGCGTGCTAGCTAGCCTGAAGAACCGGAGTTCTAACTCTTTTCCTGACGTGGGTCAAGCCTCTCCCGCCCCTTTTCTGAGCCTTGGTCTCCTTGCTTTTAAAGCCTGAGATCCCCGGGTCTAAAAGGGGAAGAAGGGGTTCTGATGAAGCGCTAGAGAGCAAGTGTCTAGCATATTTGATATCCTGGGGCTGCTGCAGAATCGTCTCCTGGAAAGAAGCTACTCTGTGGGCCGGAGGGGATGAGTGAAGGGCAAGAGGGGATGAGTGAAGGGGAAGGGGACCGAGCCTAGATCTGCCTCACCTCGGACGCAGGCTTCAGGAAGGTTTTGTCTTTGGAGAAGGGAACTCCGAAGGGGGACGCCGAAGGGCACTCCGACAGAGTGAACGATATTATTGCTGCGGGAAGGGAGATCGGCTGCTCCCCATAAAGGGAGCAAGGACGGCTGGCCCCTCTGGTCAGCGTCCTGGAGGGGCGCGGTACTCACAGTGTAAGCTGCTCTAGCGAGCAGCAGTAGCAGAAGCAGTGACCGTGGTCCCCACGATGACAGCCGGGACCTCATAGTTCCTGACATGCTTCGCCGATTATTTTTCCGCCTTTGCGTTCTGGCCACTCGGGAGCTCGGTGTCTATTTCGGTGACCCCCCTCAGCGTCCTACACGGCGTCCAGGACCATGGGCGAACCCAAAGCCCAGAGAAACCATAGCTGGGTTTGTCCAATCTGATCAGATCCACAGGCAGGCTAGGGACTCCTGGTCCCTGAAGGAGGGTAGCTAACCTGCCGGTGCCTATTGATAAGGACTGGATGCTGCTCACTGCTCGACTCCACCCGCTGGGAATAGTAGGGAGGGGATGGGAAAGCGTGGGGCTGGCAGAGAGGAGAGAGGGGGAGGGACCCCAGCCACTAGGCTGGAGGCACTAAAATCTCCTTCCTTCCCCTCCAATTCAGAAAGTGTTCTCTCTCTCTCTCTCTCTCTCTCTCTCTCTCTCTCTCTCTCTCTCTCTCTCTCTCTCGTCTAAGGATCTAAGTCATGTGTCTTGAGCAGTGACAAGGTAGACAACACTTCTTTTTTATTTTTTTAATCCTCTATTGAGGATTGAGACCTGGTCTCACTTATACAGCCCAGGCTGGCTTTGAACTCACAAACCTCCTGCCTCAGTTTCCCCAGTACAGGGATTACAGATGTGGGTCCGCATACCTGGGCTAGGTCATCAGCTAACACTTCTCAGGTTGACATTTAAACAAACTGAGTCAATGTCTACTGCGTCCCAAAGGACAATTTGAAGTGACATAAAATCTCTAGTTATTCAGCGTCCACTACTGCAACAAACCAAGCAACTAATCCACACATAAAGAGAAAAAGGTTGATTTGCTCATAATCTGGAGGGTTCTGGTCTGTGACTGGCTGACCCATGGTTTTGAGCCTGTGCCGGAGCAGCCTACCATGCTCAGAGTGTTGAGAGGGCACAGTGGAGCTAAACTTCCTGGCTGATGAGCCCTGGGGACAGAGGGAAAGAGGTCAGGGTCCAGTAGTCTCCTCTGAGATCCCATCCATTAGGACCAAAGACCTTTCACTATATCCCACCTCCTAGAAGCCATCACCTTCCCTAGTTCTACCCCAGGGACAAAAGCTTTAACCCAGGGCCCCTTGGGCAACATTTGACACCCCAAACTGTTAAAGATATTTTTTTGAGGTAGAATCTCAGGTTCATCCTGGTCCCAAACTCATTAAGTAGCTGAACTTCTGACCATCCTGTCTCTACCTCCTGAATGCTAGGACTATGACCGCATGTCACTTAGTGACACCCACACACACAGTGTATGTGGTACTGGATCGAACTCTGGCTTCTAGAACACTAGGCAAGCATCCTTGGTGTGAGCGTGGGGCAGTAGATACTGCAATGGCCACCATGGGGACATACAGAACTGTGAATTCTCCAAACTCCAATGTCACCCTCCCTGAGAAAGAGAAGAACCATTCCTTTATGTCAACAGCCTCTTAGTTCTTAGTTCTAACCCAGTTCCCCGGGTACGTTGTACAAGAAAGAGGCTCATCTAAACCAAAGTCCCAACCATCAGAACCCTGGAAATTCAATGTCCTCCCCACAGAGTCTTAGAGGTTATCCTGAGGACAGGAGAGCCTGTTTTCGACTTCAGGGTAAGATCTTCAGATACTTCCAGTGTGAGTGTGTGTGCCTGTGCGGAGGTTTGTGTAGTAGTGGGTGTCATCCTCAGTCACTCTCCCCTGACTTTTTGAGGCAGGGTCTCTCTCTCCATGAACCTAAAGCTCATTATTTGATTACACTGCTGGTCACTGAGCCCCAAGAGCCCCTGTCTGTACCTCCCCATTGTTGGATAGCAAGTGAACTCTGTTGTCCCGGACTTTTTATAGGGTCTCAAGCTTGCATGGCAAGCACCTTACAGATTGAGCCATCTCCCCAGCCCATTTGCAGGCACACCTAGAACCTCATGGAGGTAGGTTGTCAAGGCAAACGCAATCCTCCGAAAATGAAAACTTCCATGAAAAATTTACCTGGTGCCAAAAGGGGAAGAAATCTTTCCTCTTCCCCCTTTCCTGCAGCATGTCCTAGAGGATGTTTCATTTGCATTTTAGTAAATAAAGCTTGCCTGAAGTTGGGAGAGTAAACCTGTCGCATTGATCAGCTTTACAGACCAGGCAGTAATGACACACACCTTTAATCCCAGTAGCCACACTAGTTTGCCATAAAAACCGGGCGGTAGTGGCATACACCTTTAACCCCAGCACTAGAAAGGAATATAAGAGGGGAGGAGACAGCTCTCACATACAATCTCATTCTGAGATTCCTGGGGGCAGGATCTCCATTTGGGACTAAGGTAGAGGTAAGAGCCAGTGGCTGACTGTTTTACTTTTCTGACCTTCAGGTTGAGCACCAATTTTTGTCTCTGGGTTTTTAATTGTGCTACAATGTCCTTTAGGATACATTCTGTTTCTCCATTGTTTATACAAATCCTTAAAAATCTAAACAAAACTCTTGACAGTTCTGAATTGCAGCACCCCCTCCAACTCCTAACACTTGCTTTTTGAGAGAGTGTCTCTAGCCCAGATTTACCTTTAATTCCCTATGATACAGCTGAGGATGCCCTTGAGGTCTGGTCTTCCAACCTCCACCTCCCGAGTGCTGGGATTGCAGACCTGGTCCACCACACCTAGTTTTCTACAGTGCTGGGGCCAAACCCAGGGGACTTTGTGAATGTTAGGTCAGCATTCTGCCAGAGCATGACTACTGCTTGGAGCTCTCAAGTTGTCCAAACAGGTTGGGGAGTTTCCTCTTTTGTTCAACTAAACACAATCCTGTGGGCACAAGTGAAAAATCCTTCTTGACCGTCTCAAAGAGTGAGGCTTGTGTTGCTTTTGTAGAGAAGCGGTCACAGCACATTCAGCCTGGCTCGATGCTGACTGAGTGCATCGGTCACTCATGTTGCTGTGATAAAATACCTCGACAAGAGCAACTTGGGCTGAAAGGGTTTAGCTTGGCTCCTGGTTTGACGGCACAGTCCGTCCTGGTGGAGAAGGCACAGAGGCAGGAGCAGGAGGCAGGAGGCAGGAGCAGGAGGCAGGAGCAGGAGGCAGTGGGTCACATCGCATCCACACTCAGGAAGCAGAAAGAGATGGATGCTGGAGCTCAGCTCAGCTTCTTCTTTTTATTCAATCCAGGACCCTGGCCCAAGGGATGGTGCCACCCACCTTCAGGGTGGGTCTTTCCGTCTCTGTTAACCTAGTTTCCCTCACAGACATGCCCAGAGGTTTGTCTCCATGGTGATTTTAGAGCCTGCCCAACTGATTGCATTAACCATCGCACTGAATTAGAAAAATTATATTATTTTCTTTACTTTGTAAACAGGATTCGCTGAACTGGCTGGAGGACCCTCCCTTTTTTTAAAAAAATTTCCCCATTATGTCTTATATTGTTTTTCACCTCATAGCAAGGAAAAGACATCGTAGAGAATTAACATTATTGACAGATATTTACTGAGCCCCTGTCCTGCTCCAGGTGCTTTATGTGGGTGATGGGGACTGGGAAAATTGCCTTTGCCAACCTCGGTCCCATGTGGAGAGACAAACATGTTCTGGCCACAGCCATTCCAGGAGGCTAAAAAGGACAACTGAGGCTGCCACTTGTGTAAGAGTCCTGTGTCACCCCAAAATGAATAAGATACTTGGTTAGCAGTCAGCAACCGTAGGATGCAATAGGTTTTTTCAGACTGCTGTAAATGCTATGCACAGTATACAGCAACACAATAAAAATGGTTCTCTTGGTAAAGTAATTGTAGGATAAACATCAAAATCTGAGTTTGATCCCAGGACGCACATAAAAAGCCAGGCTTGGTGGTATATACCTGTAATCCTAGTTCAGAGCAGGTGCAGATGGGCAGATGAGGGGGGGAGGTTCTTGCTGGTCAGCCAAACTAGCTTTGTATGTGAGCCTTGAGTATCAGTAAGAGATCATGTTTAGAAAAAAAAGAAGAAAAGGAAGGAAGAAAGAAAGAGAGAGAAAGAAAGGAAGGAAGGAAGGAAGGAAGGAAGGAAGGAAGGAAGGAAGGAAGGAAGGAAGGAAGAGAAAGGGGCATGAATGACTCCTGAGACTGACTTCTGACCTTCACATATATGGTGTACACACACGTGCACACGCACAGCATATAGGAAGGTATCAGACAACCAAACCTAGTGAATTTGTACATCAACTAAGCCTTACCTGTCACCAGGCTCATAGGCCAAGCACATTTGAATATCCATATTTCATAAGGCCCAAGTCTGCAGTCGTGTATAGCTTTTCCTGCCACCCTCCACTCTTCTATTTAGTTATACAAACTTTTCTTGTCCACTAGCAGACCATGGACCTTGCTGGGCTTTCAGGAAGAGTAAGTAGCTCAAGTGTTAGCACATGTCCCAACAGGGAAGCGGCTTCTGCACTTGTCAATCAAGTAACAGTGATTGGTTCTGAGACAGGCATGGGATTCATTCTGACCAAGAGAAGTGATACCAACACATTCAATATCTCACCATGATCAGACTAATAGCAAGATGGCAGTCTTTTCCAGAGCATGGGACATCTTTGTTGAGAATGAAACCAGTTATAATGGAAGAGCCAGTGATAGAGAGAAGAGTATCCTAGCATCTGTCATGTTGGGGCAGGAATCACTGAAGTCCTAGCTTGCTGTTCTTGGTTGTCAACTTGGCCACATCTGGAGTTGACTAAAACCCAAGCAGCTGGGTGCATCTGTGAAGGTTCCCCCCCCCCTTAATTAAATCATTTGAAGTGGGAAGACCCACTTCTAATCTGGATCTCAAGGTGTAAAGATTTGCCCTTAATCTGGACCATACTTTTGGCAGCCTATATACAAAGGACCAGGAAGAAGGAAGCTTGATCTCTTTGCCAGCTTACTGTTGCTCACCCAGAAGTCCATTCCTTCACTGGCATTGGAGCCTACTTCTTCATGATTCAGTGTATATTACAGACCAGTTGAGACATCCAGCCTTGGAAACTGAACAACTAATGGTTTCTTGGACCTTCTATTGGTAGACAGACATCATTGGACTAGCTGGACCACAGCCTGTAAGCCATCCTAATAAGTCTCCTACAAAGAAAGAAAGAAAGAAAGAAAGAAAGAAAGAAAGAAAGAAAGAAAGAAAGAAAGAAAGAAAGAAAAGAAGGAAGGGAGGGAGGGAGGAGGGAGAAAGGAAGGAAGGAAAAAAGGAAAGAAGGAAGGGAGGAAGGAAAGGAGGGAGGGAGGGGGGAGGAAGGAAGGGAGGGAGGGGGAGGAAGGAAGGGAGGAAGACA